GTGACTTCAGTTTAACTTACCGGAGAGGATAGTGACTTCAGTTTAACTTACCGGAGAGGATAGTGACTTCCCCTTTACTTACCGGAGAGGATAGCGACTTCACCTTAACTTACCGGAGAGGATAGCGACTTCACTTTAACCTACCGGAGAGGATAGCGACCTCACCTTAACTTACCGGAGAGGATAGCGACTTCACCTTAACTTAACGGAGATGATAGCGACTTCACAACTTTACTTAATGGAGAGGATAGTGACTTCACCTTAACTTACCGGAGAGTATAGCGACTTCACCTTTACTTACCGGAGAGGATAGAGACTTCACTTTAACCTACCGGAGAGGATAGCGACCTCATCTTAACTTACCGGATAGGATAGCGACTTCACCTTAACTTAACGGAGATGAAAGTGACTTCACCTTTACTATAGGGACAGCTACCTTGGTTTTAGATATAGGGACATCTGGATTGGTTTAAGTTATAGGGTCATCTAGGTTGTTTTTAGATATAGGGACTTATACCTTAGTTTTTAGATATAGGGCCATCTGGCTTGGTTTTAAATAAAAGGACATCTAGCTTGGTTTTAGATATTGGGACATCTACCTTGGTTTTAGATATAGGGACATCTGGCTTGGTTTTAGATTTAGAAACATCTATCTTGGTTTTAGATATAGGGACATCTGGCATGATTTTAGATATAGGGACATCTACTTTGGTTTAGATATAGGGACATGTAGCTTGGTTTTAAATATAGGGACTTCTGGCTTAGTTTAGATTTAGGGACATCTACCTTGGTTTAGATATAAGGACATCGTCCTTGGTTTAGATATAGGGACATCGACCTTGGTTTTAGATATAGGGACATCTACCTTGGTTTTAGATATAGGGACATCTACCTTGGTTTTAGATATAGGGACATCTACTTTGGATTAGAAATAGGGATATCTGGCAATGTTTTAGATATAGGGACATCTACCTTGGTTTTAGATATAGGGACATCTACCTTGGTTTTAGATATAGGGACATAGACCTTGGTTTAGATAAAGGGACATCGACCTTGGTTTCAGATATAGGGACATCTGGCAATGTTTTAGATATAGGGACATCTACCTTGGTTTTAGATATAGGGACATCTGGCTTGGTTTTAGATATAGGAACATCTACCTTGGTTTTAGATATAGGGACATCTGGCTTGGTTTTAGATATAGGAACATCTACCTTGGTTTAAGATATAGGGACATCTGGCTTGGTTTTAGATATAGGAACATCTACCTTGGTTTTAGATATAGGGACAGCGACTGTGGATTAGAAATAGGGATATCTGGCAATTTTTTAGATATAGGGACATCTTCCTTGGTTTTAGATATAGGGACATCTGGCTTGGTTTTAGATATAGAGACATTTACCTTGGTTTCAGATATAGGGACATCTGGCTTGGTTTAAGTTATAGGGTCATCTAGCTTGGTTTTAGATATAGGGACATCTACCTTGGTTTTAAGTATAGGGACATCTGGATTGGTTTAGATATAGGGACATGTACCTTGGTTTTAGATAAAGAGACATCTGGCTTGGTTTTAGATATAGGGACATCTACCTTGGTTTTAGATATAGGGACATCTGGCTTGGTTTTAGATTTAGGAACATCTATCTTGGTTTTAGATATAGGGACATCTGGCATGATTTTAGATATAGGGACATCTACTTTGGTTTAGATATAGGGACATGTAGCTTGGTTTTAGATATAGGGACCTCTGGCTTAGTTTAGATTTAGGTACATCTACCTTGGTTTAGATATAGGGACATCGACCTTGGTTTAGATATAGGGACATCGACCTTGGTTTCAGATATAGGGACATCTACCTTGGTTTTAGATATAGGGACATCTACCTTGGATTATAAATAGGGATATCTGGCAATGTTTTAGATATTGGGACATCTACCTTGGTTTTAGATATAGGGACATCGACCTTGGTTTAGATATAGGGACATCGACCTTGGTTTCAGATATAAAGACATCTACTTTGGTTTTAAATATAGGGACATTTAGCTTGGTTTTAGATATAAGGACATCTAGCTTGGCTTATATATAGGAACATCTACCTTGGGTTAGATATAGGGGCATGTAGCTTGGTTTTAGATATAGGGACATCTACCTTGATTATAGATATAGGGACATCTACCTTGGTTTTAGATATAGGGACATCTGGATTGGTTTAAACTTAGGGATACCAAGCTTGGTTTTAGATATAGGGACATCTACCTTGATTATAGATATAGGGACATCTACATTGGTTTTAGATATAAGGACATCTACCTTGAATATAGATATAGGGACATCTACATTGGTTTTAGATAAAGGAACTTATACCTTTGTTTTTAGATATAGGGCCATCTGGCTTGGTTTTAGATATAGGGACATCTACCTTGGATTAGATATAGGGACATCTGGCAATGTTTTAGATATAGGGACATCGACCTTGTTTTCAGATATAGGGACATCGACCTTGGTTTCAGATATAGGGACATCTTGCTTGGTTTTAGATATAGGGACATCTACCTTGGATTTAGATATAGGGACATCTGGCTTGGTTTTCTTCAAATGTTCAGGTGAACTTGAAAGTGGATCAACGTAAATATTTTGTACACATTTGTAAGCCAATCAATTAAGCAAGTTACAGACGAAAAGCTCTGAATCTAGTACTGTTGGTCATACAAGGAAGTGGTGTATCAAAGTACTGTTGGTCATACAAGGAAGTGGTGTATCAAAGTGGTTTTAGATATAGGGACATCTACCTTGGTTTTAGATTTAGGGACATCTGGCTTGGTTTTCTTCAAATGTCCAGGTGAACTTGAAAGTGGATCAACGTTAATATTTTGTACACATTTGTAAGCCAATCAATTGAGCAAGTTACAGACGAAAAGCTCAGAATCTAGTACCGTTGGTCATACAAGGGAGTGGGGGATCAAAGCTCTGAACCTAGTACTGTTGGGCATACAAGGGAGTGGTGTATCAAAGCTCTGAACCTAGTACTATTGGTCATACAAGGGAGTC